GATATTGAAGCGGTTGCTGAAAAGACGCCTGAGAAAATAAAGACTGTACCTTTAGATCTCGATAAACCAATTGCTCAAGAAACACTCGTTGAAATAGCCAAGTTCTTAGAATTCAAGGGAAAATGTATAGAACGTGCAGCCATTGAGATTCAAAAGCTTTTCGATCTTTTCAAGGCCGTGGACGCCACACAAATTGAAATAAATCCGTTAGCTGAGACTGATACCGGTGAAGTGATCTCTGTTGATGCCAAATTGAACTTTGATGATAATGCCGAATATCGTCAAAGAGAGATTTTCGCGCTACACACCGCCGAAGAAGACACAGATCCACGTGAAGTGGAAGCTGCCAAAAACAATCTCAACTATGTAGCAATGGATGGTAATATCGGCTGTCTGGTGAATGGTGCTGGCCTCGCTATGGCTACTATGGATATAATCAAGTTAAATGGAGGTGAGCCAGCAAATTTCCTTGATGTTGGCGGTGGTGTTAAGGAGAATCAAGTGTTAAAAGCCTTCGAAATCGTGACATCCGATCCAAAAGTAAAAGCTATTCTCGTTAATGTATTTGGTGGTATTGTAAATTGTGCCACTATTGCTAACGGAGTAGNCAAACAGCTGTGGACTTAGATGATGCAGCCAATAAGGCTGTAGCTGCTTTGCATTAAATTGCATAACTCGCCCGTTGATCGAATATCTTTGGCTGGCTGGAAAATTTCAAACACTAAAGTGTATTATTGATACCTACTTACATACATACATACATGCGCATATACGTAGTTCTATGCATATAAATGCATTTACATAAGTTCTCAGGCAAGCATTTAAAACCACACTTACGTTTGTGGTTCCGAAACGAATTTTTAAACTTTTTAAGCCGATAGAAGTTTAAACAAATTTCCTTGCCATAGTGTATGTTCCTTTTTTAAAATTTTTTAATATGTGATACTTGGTAATTAAATTGTTCATAGTTGATCGTTAATAAAAGTTAACGTATATTCTACATATCCTTTTTATTAAACGGAAGTTTTGCTACATCCAAAAATAAAAAAAAACAGTGGTTTAAGTTTTTTACATATATGCAGAAACAACTGCAACTTTTGCATTTAGTTAGCATTAGGCAATATCTAACCATTCACTGTTCTTCTATTGATTTGATAAAATATCAATTAATGCGGATTTCAAAATGGAAAGCACCGTGGAACAACTATACATATGTGTAAAGAACTTTGCTACAGGAAAGTTTTTATTCTTAATAAATTGAGCTTTTAATTATGGATTTATCTTGCAAATTGTTCCTTTCTGTCGTTAAAATTGTTATTTTCGGAGAAATATAAACGCCTCTAATGTCCTGTTGTCCTTTTATGGCTAATTTTATGGGTTTACATTGTACATAACAGACTATGTTGAGGGAAAGTTATATTTCTGTTGATTAACATTAGTCCTGTGCTTACTGATTTCAACGACAACTATCGGCAATTACACAAATGTTATTGCCAGAGGAAATTTAAGTTTTCTGTTAATATGAAACTTCAGTAAATATTCCTTGCTTTTGGAACTTTGCATATTATTTTATGAGATTTTTTAGTACATATTGTGATTACCTATACCACAGCCGTACAGAACCGCCACGCTGTCCTCCATACGTTGAACATGTCCAAGCCAGCGCAATCGTGGTATTTTTATGCGTCAAACTGAAGCTATGTCGTTAAAAAGCTCTCAGTTAGTCATTCCATCTTCTTTGGTACCCGGCATCACACGCTTGGGGCCATAGTGAACATTTCTGCGCCATATAGAGGAATGGGCACGATGATAAATTTGGGGAGTGTGATTTCCAACCATGTTTTTCAATTGCCTGCCGACTCACGTTGGCAAGAGTTATTCTTTGCTGGTTTCTAGAAGTCCTCTACCCAATTCTTAGCCGCCTATATTTACGTGACGACGTATTGTTCTCTGTTGTTTCTGCTCTTGTAAGTCTTTACTTAGATTTGCCATTTGGTGAATACCTAGTATGTCTAAACCCGCACCGATAATGGATGGGGGATCTAAGCCTTACACACAGGTATCCCTTCTGTGCTGCATACGCCTTGTCAGTTCTTCGCCCTTGTGCTTGGACAGCACAGCTAGCAGGCGGCAGCTTCAGCAGCTTTATTGCTTTTCACCCACGAAATGGTTATTCGCACCTCGTCATAGTCGGAGGGTGGGACATCAATTCCGCCGTTTTCGATGGGGGCTCCGACTCATCTTCTCCATTGGATCCAATGCTGTTGATATTAAGCAGGCTGCGAAATTGTTCTTTTCATAATTAAGTCTCCAAGACATTGGTCAGTTGGTCTTGAAACCTTTCGTACGTCGCCTAACTTTCTGATATAAAGTTCTTAACTTATGATACGTGGGCAATCGCATAACATTTGCTATAGGGATTCATCCGAAGGCTAGGTCTATCCTTTTGATGAATTAATTATTGATGAGTTAATTAATTAAATAGAGCTGTTCTGATGCCCACAAACCTATATGCAGTTTCGAATGATTCTGGGGTTTTGCCTCACTGGTGCTGCCTAACTGTCAGACATGATTTTTATCTTATTCGTAGTAGCTCTTCTACGCCTGAAATATAGTTCAATATGAATCTATCCATTCAGGCATTTTTTCGGGACCTGGATCCAAATACTCCCGCCCTAAAATTACCATCTGCGAGCTTAGGGGTGCTTTCAGCAATACATCAAGCCAAAGCATCAGTCTCTTTTATTT